GGAAAACTCAGAGCACTGAAAAACGGAGTGGTGCTGCAGGTACTTCCATAAATGAAAAACTAAACCATCTTTCCGTTATTACGATGCAATGAGTTTCCTTAATGATACAATGGAGTATAAAGAGTATACTCTTATATAAGTTCTACTGAATGTTTTAAATTACGTTTCGCGAAAGAATATATTTATTTTCTATTATTTCTGTTTCAGAACATATACATCTTTAAGATTCTCAAAGAACAAAGTGTAAGGTGCAATTAATAAAGTGTGCATGTTTTAATCTCGGCGGTATGTGGTCGCGTGAAAGCGGGCCCAATAGTCGATGGTAAAGGAGCGCGAGAGGGCGCGACGGTATCGGCGAAAGAGGAGAGTTTTGGGAATGGCGAGCATAGAGAGAGCATCGTAGAGCGTTCGGAGAGTGTGAGTCCCGTTTGTCGAAGCGTGCGATAAGTACAGGGTCGTGATTGACTGTCTTCGTTGTGAGTGCGGTCGCGCCTAATACAGGGTGCATACGTTTGTTACGTCCGCGAGGAAATAAACAGTCTTTATCATATTCCCTTTGCGCTTGTTCCTTCCTGCTCAACGGACATTCTTCCGGGCATCTTCTCACAGCCATCCTGTCTATCCTATCAAATATCCTGATCAACATATCCCGTTCAAGTGAGGGATTTATGATAGGCCTTTCCACATCAGGCCATATCTAACAAAAGACACAACTCAAGTAACGAATAACTTTCTTGTTACTTCACCTTCCTGTTCAAGTTCCTCTACGAATGACATTAACGATGACGTTAATTCAGAAAACAGGCCACCTTTACCGCCATCACCCGCCATATCTGAATTGTCTGCAGTGACATCATCGTCTAAAAGTTCGTGTTTAAAATAGATACTACAGTTAGAAATAGACATTACAGACATTGCATTTTAATAATTAAATATACTGTTTGGTTTCAGAAAGACGATATTCAAATAAAACCGACGAAATAGATAGAGCTTTATTAGAGGCCTTAAGCACGCATGTTCAACCAAGCCCTATTGATGGGTTTATGTTACGACTGGCGGAAGGAATATATGCGCCGACTTCCCTATAGGGAAAGATCACAGTTAGAGTTGGAGTTTTTAATGAAGTTACGTGAAATGGAGGAAAGCTTGGGATTATTAAATAATTAAGAGGATGTCTGTTATATTATATTTTATATATTTTATATACTATTATATTATATTATATATATTTAATTTTTAAAGAAAATATAGACATGTATAATAATAAACTTAGAAATTAATGTTTAAAAGTCATTGAGTAATGCCTTCTCCCACTGCTGTTCTATAGCTCCAACAGTACAAAAAATTCTGTGAATGCATCTCGAATGCTTACTGCACTTCGAATTACATGATC